ATATTTTAGCTAAAACATTAGTTAACCTTACCGTTAAAACTCGACCACCATCCTTAAAGACCTCTGGAGCCAATCCATCCGGAACAACTGCTCTTCTTCGTTTCAGATTAGCTATAGTTTTTTTACCTTCAATTACAGTCGGGGGGGAAGCTATTTCAATGTTCCATTCAGGCTGTTTGAAAATGGTGGGTAACTGTAGATTAGCTGAAGTCTGGCTGAACAGCTCCTTAAAGTGTTCCGCCCGTCGTTCTAAACGTCTGGGCTGAGAGCAGATAAGTGTCGTCTTTTTCCGAGACTGATTGACAACTGACTTCTTGATTCCGGTTTGTTTTATTAGCCTAAAAAGCTGTCTAGTGTTACAAATTTTACACATAAAAACTAAACTTTACATGTTAAGTGTGATAACCAACAAAAGGAGTTGTAAACAGACTAATGTTGTTAAGATAGTCGCTGAAGTTAGTTATTTCACGAACAATAAGACTACTTAAATCTAAGAACAGTTCAACAAAGTCACATCTAGGCTAGAACTAGACTACAAGTAAACAGAAATCAACCAGCGGAATTATTTTTTCAAGTATCTCATCGTTTTAGCTTTCAAATTTGATGGTTAACTACCAAACAATCAACACAAAACTGTTTACGAAACGCATGATATTCATCACAAATAAAAAAACAACTCTAATTCATGGATAAACTAGAAAAACAAAAGCTGACCTGGGTAAGAGCTGAACACTCCTGATACTTGACGGCTTTTAAACGTTCGGCGAGTTTTTTACCCTGATCACTGCTGACCATTTTCGCTTTGTCGTTATGCAAGCGGGTTATTGTAGCGCCTTCATCGCGAAGATCAATTTGTGTTCCAACAAGAAGGAATGGAACCTTGGGCGAGTGATGTCTTATTTCCGGGACCCACTGGGAATAAAAAACAGAGTGCTTATATAGACTAAGACAAGATAGCTTGCATGAAGATAGAACACTATAAGAAAAGTACCTGATGCAAACGATCCTGATGACCTAATGGATGACATCCCGCTCCTTGTATGGTAAAAGGAAAATGAAACCTACAAATACGACGTGCAAGCCACTTTACATCACAGCAGTGTACTAATAGTTTTATATCACCATTTAGTGGTGGCCAAGATGAAAGTGACGCGGAAAGAACACTGGACAAACAGCATTACAAAATTTTAATACAGCCTTTCTTTGAGATACTGAAAAACTCGGCGAATTAAAGATCACACTCAAAAACAGGTTTTAAGCCCACAGGCCGAATACACAAAAGCAAACAAGCGAGTGACGAGGAGAATTACATATATTAATAAGAAACATGTGGAAGACCTAACAATGACAAAACTACAAGAGTAGAGAATATAAGGCAATTATATGATATAACGAACAACCTAGGCGGGAAATATAGTAGACCAGAGCAACCAGTCAAGAACGAAGAAGGCGAACAATCCCCGAGATTCAAGAGCACCAGATGAAGCAGTAAAGACTGACAGAAGTAACGGCCAAGATGCTCTACATTCTCTACAGAAGAATTTGAGAGAAAGAACAAGCACCGACACGGAAAAAACGATAACTCACTAAGATATTAAAGAAAGGAAATCTCAGAAAGTTTGAGAACGACACCGCACTATTCTGAGTACCTGGCAAAGTTCTCAACAGTGGTGCAGAGCCCAACTTCGGAATCAACAAGCTGGATTCCGTAAAATAGCAACACTAAGGATCATTGTTAAACAATCAACTAAATGGGACTCATTACTACGGAAAAAAGTTGCTTGACTATGAGAAAGCATGCGACATAGTGCATAGTAGAACCTTATAAAACCTTCGACACTTCTGTACCTGAGATTGTCACTGCCATACACAATCCCTGCAACGGCCCACAGTGAGGATCTGATGCAGATATGAAGGGACAGACTGGCAAAGCAAGGACAGCATTCCTACAGTCGAAGAACATCTGGAACTCGAAGTAACTATCCGCCAACATCATACCCAGAATTTTTAACACAAAAGTCAGTGTTCCTATTGTACAGAGCTTAAACTTGAAGAACTGCTACAACCATAACCAAAAATCTAAAGGTAAAAAAAACGGCTGTCTACGCACGATACTCCAGATCTGTTGGTCAAGCACTACCAATAATAACCTACTGTTAGAGAATAAATCAACTTCCAGATAAAGAGAGAATCAAAGAATGAATAAAGATGAATAAAACACATTGGGGAAATCATTAAACTGCATCACAAAGCAAGCCCCAACATGGAATCCTAAAGGGAAAAGGAAGAGAGAGAAATCAGACAACACATTGCGATGAGAATTAGAGACAAATATAAAAAAATGAGTAGCACTTGACAAGAACTAAAAACGAATCCAGGACAGAGAATCCTGGTCGGTGGCCCCTGCACCGCGAGGACTGAAAGACGTAAGTAGATGTACTTACTAAAAGAATCAACAAACGGATCCTATTTTATTTATTTGAACACATAAATATTGGTACAAGAGGGCACCAAATATATATGCGCCACAAACGGATTCTACGAAGAACAGATCAGTGGGTGCTTGACAAATAGCCAGATAGTTCAAACATATTCAACATGTGGTGTCCGTATGGAATTGTAAGTATTCGTATTACCAATGTGAAATTTATCTTAATGCATTATTTGCATAAAATTATTGATTTGGTTGCCATTCTAATGTACAGCAATCCACTGCTTACATCAACACTCAGATGAATGGTATTTTAGTACTGATATAACAGAAAGTCATCATATTAACTTCTTTGAAGCACTACTTGTACATGAATGAACCATTAAGTGTGCGAAATTGATGATAGTCGTAGTGAGAGATAAATTTTGAGGTTCATTATTGGGACTCAAAACAACTGTCAACCAGTATCAAAGTCAGGATCTTCCATACGAACGTCAAGACACTTGATACTTGGAGGACTACTACAACCATCATCAAGAAGGTAGAAGTATTTATAAATAGTTTTCTTCGCAAGATACTCAACATCGATCGGCTGGATACCACCCGTAACAGCCTATTGGAGGAAAGAACAAACCAGCTTCCAGTTGAAGAGGAAACTAGGAAAAGACGATGGAAATGGATAGGACGTACATTACGGAAATCACCAAACTGCATCACGGGACAAGTGCTAACTTGGAATCCTGAAGGGAAGTGGAAAAGAGGAAGGCTAAAAACACATTACGTCGGGAAATAGAAGCAGGTATGGAAAGGATGAATAACAACTGGAAAGGATTGCCCGGGACAGTGTTGGGTGGAGAATGCTGGTGAGCAGCCTATGCTCCTTCACGAGGAGTAACAGGCGTAAGTCATTAACGGACTTAGCTGTAAAAGCCCAATCAACACTTTAGTCTCACCAGTACTCATACAATTGTAGCCCAAAGGCGAATACAAGCACTTGCAGTCAGTTTTTCTCTCCAATTATTCAGTAAGCGCTTTAAATCAATGTATGTATAGCTTTCTTTTAGGGCGTTGAACCAATAACTTAAGTAATAGCCTTAAAAAATGAGAAAAAAAACTGGACTGATATCGTTACTACGGTCAGTCGAATGTTAGGTAAACACAGATAAAAGTCTTATAAGGGAGAATGATAGTCGAATAAAGACAAGTAGACCATGGTAAACCGAGACAAACGCTATTTATGTTTGAGCAGGATACAACCTTACGTTTGACTTGTTCCGCATCAGAAAAGAAGTATATGAGCAAGCTTCGGATTTTATGATCATTGAGAGTCTGGAAGCTAGGGATATAATACAGCTCTACATAACAGTTAACGCACTCATATCCGAATACTAAGTTGCAGACTTAAATTCCGTTCCAACACCTTTTGGAACAAAAGATGGTGTCAAAATAAAGACTCTCAGGCTACATAATCAGGAATATTGAGAAGCATCAAAGAATCATGAAACTCCTGGCTGCGGCTTTATAGAACAAAAATGGTTTATCATTAAAACTTTGCTGATCGACTGAATGGTAATGTCGGAGTAGAATACGAAGAGTGAAGTAGTGAGAAAACAAAGGTGACTAAAACATATAGTTCAGAAGGATTGTGCGCATACGACCGAACGGAAGAACTAGTAACAAGCGAACTTCCTGAAAAGTGTGTGGGTGGATTTTTTTTGAAATCCCTGACATTAATTTGTGTAATTACGGTTTAACTATAATTTATGGACGAATCAACCAGATCTAAGATAGTGGGTCTTGAAATTCGATGTGAAATTCACTCATGCATGGGAGCACATATCATTTTGGCGTTATAGCTGATATCAGGTTGCGACGAAAACCTTAATTATATTTCCTCACCCTAATGTCCAACAGTAAATCCTAATTAAATCACAGGATACTTCCGCGTATCAATGACTGATAATTAGAGCGAATCAGAATGTAAGGACAATAAGCAAGCAGTGATATTAAAATTAAAAATAAAACTGTGGTTTTACCTTTTCCTCGACGTTCACGAAAGAGGTGGAGTTGACCACAGAAAAGCAAATAAGGTAAACATCCGTTTGAGGATAACTAAGGGGTCTCAAACGGTCATAATCTTCTTGACCAGCTGTGTCAAAAAGTCCCAAAGTGTACGGTTCTCCTCCAACCATAACAGTTACAGCATAGTTATCGAAGACCTGTAGGTATTACAGCAATATAACCAGTGATCTTACAGTCGGAACATAATCCATCGGAAATTTGTTTGTGGTGTACGATATAAGTAAACACGTTTTTCCAACGGCTCCATCGCCAACTACAACACATTTAATAGTTCGCAAGTTATCAGTCATTGGAAAACAGAATCCAGATTGAAGATGTGCAGACAAAGTTTAAATTCCGCCATCAAAACACCTTGAAACAAACTAACAAAGAAATAATAGAAATAAAAATATAATATTAGTCGAGAAAATTTCGTATCAGTGCGTATTTATTACGGTAACACGAATTGATGCACAAACTTTTATGGCGGGAACTACAAAAGCACGCCAAATCGGCAAGTTCTGATATAATTTTATTTTACATGTTATCTCACGTTGTTTGTTTCGCGATAACCATAAATCAAATAAATCTATTTGTTTCCCTTAGTTTTAAACCTTCCATACATCTCATCATGCTTGATTTCGAGGGAAATTTCGTTATAGATTTGTTTGTATATGATATAAAGATAGTTACTGTATTCACGGTGCTTATTTAGTTCTATAAATAATTGCTTATTTGGCTTCTATACAACCCTCTGCCAGTTGACTTCTAATATTCAGCATTTGTCCAGTTGTAAAGGATCTTTCAGGCAGTAATAATCATTGGGCATTCAAATTCTTGTAGTAAAGAGAGATTACTTACGACCTCTGTTATTCCTTCTCTAGTATGCTTCTCTGAGTTTTTGTTCTCTAAAATAAGGCACTTGAAGGTGTGTACATCACCGTCTCGAGTAATCGTCTCGAAGTATCGATGAAGGTGGAAACATGTATGCCACGGGTATTCTGTCCGTTCTGGGCTTTTCTACTCGCCTGCAATGTCCCGATCTAGTGAGAGAAAAATGGGAAGATATATCAAGTCTAAAATCACTTCTTAGTATTTTGTACATGAAAATCAAATCACCTCTTAATCTGCGGTAGGGTAGAGTAAAGACGTCTAGCTTTTCAAACCGCTCCTTGTATAGTAAACTCGAGTTGCACGAGTAGCTGCCCTCTGTACTTTTTCCACGGTATCCGAGTTACCTTTTAAACGGGGGCTTGTAGCCTGAACGCATTTTTCAAACTTAGCTCTCACTAAAGTTGCATATACTGTAGTGAACATGCTAGTTTTCAACTTTGTGAACGTCCGTCTTAAAGCCCATAGGGTTCTAAACTCCCTAGTTACAATCTCCACGCAATGGGTCGTGGTCATAAGCTGACGACTCATTGTCACCTTAAAATCCTTGTAAAACCGGGCCACGGCTACAGGTACTTCCCTTTATTGTACCTATTAACTTTTATATCCCCAAAGTGCTTGTAGACGCACTTTGCCGCGTTGATACGCACCAGTCTCTCTTTAGACCAGCTAATCACAATATTTAAGTCTGTCTGAAATGCACATAAATTTGCCTCTTGTTATTTCTAGCCAAATTTTTAGTAACATTGGGGATTCAACTATACTTGGGAGCTCATTTACATACAGTATAAAAAGTAAAAAGCCTAAGACAGAATCTTGCAGTAATTCACTAAGTACTGGTCTCCAGATGGAACACTTAGAATTAACTCTTACTTTCTATCTACGACATACTAGGAAATCCTCAAGCCATTTTATGAGGGGTCTGACAATTCCAAGAATTTCCAGCTTCGATAGCAGTCTATTTGTTGTCACTGTTAAATGCGTTGCTTTAGTCTGTGTAGAAAAAATCCGCTGATTCTCCATTCTCTAGAGCCTTTATCCATTGCCTCCTTGCTATAAGGAGGTTTGTTGTGCAAGATAAACCTTTTCTGAAACTATGTTTTTCACTTACTCATCGTAGATTAAAAATTCTGTGACTGTGTCAGTTATATATTTTCTTTGATAATTTAACTCGACTGGAAAATAATTTATGCGAATGTTTGTTAATGTTAGAACGAATGATTTGACATAAATTGGACGCTGAGTATAGAGAAGTCATCACAGGTGAGATTTATATTTGCCTGAACACCGAAAACCACGATGCGCAATGCTGACTAGTGTTGGGGTAGTTGGCAAAAAGTTAGGGGCGGCCAAACCAAAACGTGTATTAGTGCTTAAAGTCACTACTGGTCTGAGCCATGTTGGTAGATTTAGGCTACTTGATCGGGATCTGCGCGACTATCGTAACGAGTGGTTGGTGACTCCATGTGACATGACTCAGAATCGATCACAATGGCGTAGGTGTATGTACTCTTTGTCTTCTTTTAAACCTTGAGATTAAAACTTTTTATGCACTTATTTCTACCAACTAATTCTTTCTTCCTGTATCATATCCTTTTATGCAATCTTTCATCTAGATATCACTACCATTGAAGTAGCTGCTTTATGAATTCGGTGTTGATCTTGTTGTGCTTATGAGGTGTGGTAACTTGGACCGATGCATATATGTGCCTGGTCCTACGTTGTAGCTGACTGATATCATTCTCATCTGGTAACTTTTCTAAAATCTCAGATGTACACATACAAAACACTAAATTCAGTCAACCGCTTAGCAGTGGACATTGTGGTCAATTAAATACATTAATTATATGTCGCTGTTCAGTTTTCATTATACTTTATCAAGCTGGAGAAACCTGTGGTGTATAATATTAGTACTTTTGCATATTTTATTTCTTTGTGTTATTGCTATAGAGGAAAGGCTTACGTCTATAAAGACGCTTTATTTTACTGGACTGATAACTAGTACGGTGATCAAAGTGATGCAGGGTACTGAATTATTGCGATTTCTTTTAGAGCTTAACTTCGTTATTATATTATCGTGGCAATTACGAGACATTAACACTAAAATAAACGTTATTAAGACTCGTTAGAAACACTAGCAACTGTACAGTACGTATTTGAAAGATCATTCATAAATTAATCAATTCCAAACCTGGGTGTCATGTTTGGTTTTTGTCTATTCCAGTCACTGTATTTTTATACACAAAATTCGCATTCAACAGATGTTTTTTTATCTAAAAATAGATTTTTGTGATTCGTCTTGTTCTGTTTAAATTACTAATGAATTGCAAAAACTTTCCTTTTGACTATTTAGAGGCATTAAAATGCATGCTCAATCTAAACGCCCCTCCAAATTCTTCGGATGGACCGCAATGGAAAGTAAGCCTTCGTAATTGCTCTAGACTCTTTTATATTATTATAGATCTTGATATACGATCAACTGGGAAGAGATATCATCTCACCGTTATTAACAGTCAAGGATTTACGTATGCTTGGTGTCACATTACATTTGTAAGTGATAATACTGAATATAAATAATTATACTTGTCAGAATGTTACACTCGCCACGTGAACAGATCCCAGATGTTCCCGCTGTTTATTTCGTTTACCCTTCCAAAGATAATATTAATGCTATATGCAAGGTTGGTATGATTTTATATTTAAGACTTATTGTTCAAAGGATTTTGAAGCAGGTAGATATGATTCGTATTACTTGAATTTTATCAGCCCAATATCACGCGAATACCTTGAAGAAATAGCTCAAACAGCATTATCTGAAAACTGTGTTCATCAAATTTCAAAAGTTTTTGATCAGTATACAAATTTTATTTGTTTGGAGGATGATTTATTGACTCTTAGCTCACCCATTGATGGTCCTTCTTCCTTTTATGGTGAGTTTATTATCTCATATGTAACACATTGGTTCTATATAAATTAGTTGACGTATTTGCTTTGTATTCACTGTACATTTATTCGATATGACGGTCATTACTGTATAATGAATAATTACCTTCTGATTCTTAATTTTATACGTGATTTATTCATTTGTTAGTTGATGTGTAGCTTAGATCCAGACAATCTTAGTTGAATCTTTTGTGTGTAAGTAGCACATTAAGTTTGGTAAAATATGCGTATACACCCAGTTTGCTAGCGGCTATCTTGAAGTCAATTTTGATTCTAATATTACATATACCCTAGTATTATTGTGATCTTCGTATTGAAAATATCACCTTTTAAATATGGCCAACGTAGAGTCACTCATTAACCGATCAGACTGATGCAAGCAATCAAAATTGTGCATAGCTGTCAGTTTTTCCTTCCTTATTATTGTTCTTATGAGCCTTTGGAAATGTCCAAAAAATCCTTAAAATGTTTTCATTGTAAGGTTATACAAACTATCCTGATAGGATGTAGAGAAAGATGACTTACATTATCGTGGCTTGGAGCGATACCACTTCTTACACTTTATTAAATTCCGTAGATCAGCACGTAAATGTAGGCTGATGGTAAGTACTGGCCTGTATCCATCCCTATAGGCTATATTCGTAAGCGGATAAAATAAACTTCTGAACTCACTTCAAAAGATATCATGTCTCGTATTTGCAATTATCAAGTTAGGGTGATTAGTTCAGCAAAGTGTTCGTTAATGTGATCAAGGCTATCAGAACTGTAGTTCAAGTAAATCTTATTGTATCATATTTATGTATCGGGTCTTAATGCCCTTTAAAAGTCAAGTGCGAGAATTATTTACTTACGATGTCACATAAAAGAACTAAGACGGTTTTTGAAATTCTAGGTTTTATTCGTTTGTGACATATGTGTAGGATATTTATCAGCAGTTGATTTCGATAAATCTGGTTATATAATAGGGATAAATAAAGTCAAGTGGTATAATCCATTCACTGGAAGTATCCCATAATAGCTTATATTTATGCGACATGCATCGCGTGTGGATTTTCAAAGCATATCAATTTTTTTCCGTACCATATTGATTGACATTGTCTTCGCATTTGATATTTAGTACTCTTGTACTATCTTTTATTTACCATTTCGTTTTACAGCTCTTAATCGTGCGAAAGCTACAGAAGTGGATATGGAAAATTTAATCCACTCAGTTGTTGATGGATTATTTTCAATTTTTGCGACACTTGGCTCAATACCTATTATACGTTGTCCTCGTGGTAATGCTTCTGAAATGGTAGCATGCCAGCTGGATTCGAAATTTCGTGACAGCCTTCGAGATTCTAGGAATTCACTTTTTATGAATAATACAGCACGCGGTTATGGTATCACTGCAAATGACGATTCGTCTGGAGAACGTCTAGGATTGAACTCTTCATCACCACTAAGTCTTTTAAACAGGAACTCTCAAATGAACTCACCACCAAACTTATTTCAGCGTCCACTGTTGATTATTTTAGATCGTAGTTTAGATTTGGCCTCTCCACTACACCACGAGTTGTCCTACCAAAGTTTAATCCATGATATCTTTGTAAGCCATAAATTATTTGATTTATACTTGTCTCAAATCATGGACAGAGATTATTCATTATACATTAATGAGTCATTTGAGTTATTTTTATTAGTACGTACTTTATTTAGAGGCATATTAAAGGAAGTTTATTGTAAGGTAGGTGACTTTTCGTAATTGTTTCCATTATGGTAAATATTTCCATCTGAACTAGCTGTATGGTGGATTTCGTAGAATGGTTCATTTTCTAAACTGACCAAGCTCATACACTCTCCACACTATACAAAAGAAAGTGAAATCTAAACACAGATGCCATTCTTCTCTAGAAGGAGATAGTAAAATGAACCGTGCTATATTTAATCCTATAATTGTTTGAAACAAAATATGTGTACCTGTTGAATTTTCATTTACTCTACAAATATCTATTGTAGCCAGCTTACTGAAGTGGTAGTTTATTGGGTTCTAAAGCACGCAAGCAATCAATGTGTTTAAATTATCTAACTTTATATAGAAATCGTATGTACAAATAAGTCATTGATCCTAATCTCCTCTGGTCCGATGACCTGAATCCACAAACTAATATTCGCAATTCAAAAAAACTTTAGACTTTTGCTCATTTGACCTATAAAATATAGGATAACTGTGTAAAAATAGTATAATTTTACTAAGTAAATCCTTTAAGCAGTATAACATTGAATTCATTAAAATATGAGGCAGACAATCACATTGGAGTAATAAACACAAAAATACGATACCAATAACCAGATATTAGTAAATAGAGGAGCTGCTTCAGTAACGTTTGCTGTTTAGATGCAATTCTGTAGGCTTATTTTACACCTAAACCTTATCTGGCAGTTTCGGTTTACTGTGTCATATCTTTATGTGCGCCTAGAGGTATGAGTGATGCATCAGCAAATGGTAACCTGAGGTTGAAACATCTTTCATGCTAATTCACCTCATTAGAAACTACTTGTTTGGACATAGAGGATTCAAATAGAGGAGTTGGAAAGCCCTGATTTCAAACCATTGGTGCACACAGTCTCCAGAACTGGGAGAGAAGAAGGCGTACGAACCTAATGTTGGTCACCGGTACCATGGGACTGTATGTCCTTAAGTTGCTCCACTGCCTTATGGATTAGACCTTTAGGTCAAAGGCTCGGGGTGTGGCCCTCTAAGAAAACCACCCACTTCGGTTTAGGCACCCGGACAGTATCACAGCCTTCACACAAATCAACGATAACTGTGCGGCGCATATATATTTGGTGCCTCCTTGTACCAATGTTTATGTGTTCACATAGATAAAATATTTGTTTGCCAAGTTTTTTGATCCAGCCTCTCGAACTGTAAATATCACTCATTGTACCTTTTAATTTTAAAGGACAATTGTAAAAGGTGATCAAACTGTCGAAGCTAATATTGTAAATTTATTACACTTAGTAATAATCCTATATGTATGCAAAAAAGCTTCCAGATCTTTTATATGAGGAAAATGTAACGAGGTTAGGCAACCCAACACAGAGGATAGACAATTATCAACGTAGCGTCATACAAACTAAGGTTGTGATGTATCTTTTAATTTTTGTTATATTGCAACTACTGTGATCAGCAAAATGCTCTTTGAACACAGAGCATACAAATTCTATCCTCTTTTTTACTTGCACTACATCAGAAGTACTTTGCACGTGTTTAACTCAAAGAATTTAACTAACTTATAATTTACAATCATCAGAGTGATTCAATTTATTTGTGTTATCGTGGAGCAGAATAATGTTTAATTTTAAAACGTTATTCTTTGGTTACCAACCCTACATCGACATCGCATACTTCTTTAAAAGAATTTTTTTCTGTAGTATAATCTGACAACTGTCTTCTTTCCCTAGCTCACTTGTTTAAATCAATTATGGTAAGTGGTCAACTGCACTCAGTTTACCTGATTTATATGTAAATTGCATCTAATCATGGTTTATTTTTTTTTCTTAAAGAATATTCGTCTCAATCGTGTTCATGTGAATTTAGATTTGGCTAAGCCTATCTCAGATAATGAAAAATCCAGGATACCAGAAAATAATAGTAAAACATCAAATTCTAAAATAGTTGAGTATGATTTAACAGGATCATGTGATCGTATATGGAGAGATTTTAGAGGTGCTGCATTTTCTGATGTTGCAGAAGCTATACATGAAGAAGTGACAATACTAAAAGATTATGATAGACGTATGAGTGAATTGAAATCATCACTTGGTGGTTCAACAGATATAAATATGCTGGCAACTTCATCAACAATGACGTTTCTAGATGATAGTACAGCTAAATTAACAAATGCTATCAAGTTAGTTACCTTCCTTAAAATACTAAATATCTACTTGTTCTAATCCTGCTTATTTTTTTTATTGCTTAAAATGGTTAAGTATTTCCTAGATTAAAAGCTTGTGCGATATGTTTTTGACTGATATACCCAAATCATTTCACTTAACTTTTTTGCCTAATTTTTCAACAATATACAAACATAATTTGAAAAACTGACTGTCAGTACTCATTTCAATAATTTGAACGGAGATCGACTCAATTGAATCATGATTTTAACCAGTGAAATCTCTAAAATCTCCACAAAACCCCTTCTCATAATATTTGATTTGTGTTTTAAAAAATTTTTCATTGAAATTGAATTGAGCTATTTAAGGTCTAAATTACCTGTTAAGTGAAAAAAAAGATGACTAATGAATTTCACCAGCTTAACTAATTATAGAGCAAAAACAAAACGATTTACTCAATACTTCTTTTTGTCATGAATTCTAATAATGTTACAAATTTCAGTGTGTTGGGGGAATAATACTTAGTTTCTATCATTTACTAATAGTATTTCATTGTCTCCAATAGTTTTATACAAATTGTTATAAATCTTTTTTCTTACGGTTATGACCCAGCTATTCCTATTGCTTAGTATTCTCGGACACCGATTCGCTCAACAAGTCCCCAAATCAAAACACGGTTGAACAGGAAAGAGATTATATTCCAAATAACAAGGTTAGATGGAAGTAAGAAGCAAGTCAGAAGCACGATAGAGAAAACGTCAGTATATTTATGGTTTTTAGATGAGAAGATTCTAAAGTATTCTCCAACTATCGACTAGTGCTGATTGGATAAGAATTAGCCAATCAGTGTGCACCAAAGCAATCGTGCATTGAGCTTGCTTTAATCTAGTCTATGTCCCGCTAACACAAATACATTGACAACTGTCTATGTATTTGTATTTTTAATAGTTGAGTTCATGAGTCAGTCTGAGCTAGACCACCATTGAAAACCGCGAATCACTGGATGGTCGTTTCGCATTAGTATGGGACTCCTCAGCAGTGCGCATTTTTTGTTTATTTTGTAGGCTGTTTTCTTTAGATCAATTTATAGAATGATTACCCGGTGTTTGATCAGCATAAATCAACAATTTCACCCTATTAGTCTTTAACTATTATGTCTTTTTAAAAAAGGAATAGATGGTCTGTTGAAATTCCTGGGCAAATTAACCATTATTATCTCATTTAAGAAGATACTAAGTCGTTAGTTATGTATACTTATAAATTAATGTTCCAATAAAATAAGATTGTAGTGGTGTGGAAGTAGAATTTCGTCGATACATCTGCCACAGAACTATTATTGTAACTACTTCTCAAAATACATATCCCTTTCAACTGTAATAAAAAAGTACGAACAAATAACTTCATCTCTTAGTCCTTTAATCTAATACCGTGTTATATCCCGACGAGAATAATGAATGATAACTGTTGGGATCTATTTATAGACTAATACTATACATATATTTTTATCGTATAATTCCTAAGTAACTATGTATATTCATATTCCTCTTATAAGCTTTATTTTGACCTACAGACTATTATTATACGACCTATCATGACTAAGTTATGCCCAGTTTATTAATTACAATCACAGCCACTTTTGGCTAGATCTTGTACAAATGTTATTTCCTATTTTATGGTGTGATATTGTCTGTTTGGCTTATATACAAACCCAGTATGTTTGAAATATATGATATCTCGGAAACTGAGATTTGTGTTTTGAACTGTTATAACTTATGAACCTGTGTGCCCTGTTTATTGTATAACGCAACGATACCGCCAATCAGAGAGCAGAGAATTACCGATCGAACCAATGACGCATAAAACACGTACGAGCAGCCTAGAGTCCTGACTGGTTCTGCTTTTCGCTTGGCCCAGCCAGTTGAGTGCAGAACACCAATCCCAGCCTCTGCGATATGAATCATTTATTTCAAACATACGGGGCTTATATACCAATCAAACAGACCACAACGTACCATAAAATAGAAAACAATATTTGTACAGGATTCGGCCAAATGTGGCTGTGAATGAGGGAGGTAGTGATTAATAGACAGGGCATAATTCAAGAATGGTAAATCGTAAAATAATACTTCATAGGTCAAAATAAAACTCATAATAAGAGGGATATGAATATGAACAGTTTAGTTATTTAACAATTATACGGTAAAAATATACTCATAGTCTTGGTCCATAAATGAATTCCAAAGTTACCATTCATTATTCTTATCGGGATAACATGAACTTAACAGGCAGGGAAAAGGACCAGTCGGGACTCCAGGCTGTTCGTTCAGGTGTATGCGTCATTTGTTGGTCGTATAATTCGAAGTGTCTAAATTTGGCAATCGTATTCGGGGTAATCGTATAAGCTAGGGACATAACAATTTGGTGAATTGGTAACACTTCTTAACAAATACAGTTTTTCTATAGCAAACTCAATTGATCTAATATTTTCATTAGGTCGTGTGGTTGTGATTAAGATAGATTCGTTGCATCCAAACTATTTCTTACTTATCCCAAGAATTCTTTTTATGTAAATGTTGTTCTTACTATTTTGGTTTTCTTAGTTCTTTACCCCAATTAATGGAACGTAAACGATGTCTTGATATGCACACAAATATTGCAACTTGTCTAGCTAATGTAATCAAAGATAGGCAGATACATTCTTTTGCTGAAGAAGAAGACCATCTTCTTTCTAAAAACAATCCATCCACGGTATGTTTTGTGCATTCAATCGTGTTACTAAAATAGTAGTTTTGTATTTGTATCTGTCATTAATGTGTTCAGTGATGTTTAATAGCTGGTGCAATGAATACCTTGCTGGATATGAGACGATTTGTCAAGCTATGACAGGCTTTTTTGTCTTCGGCACCCAAATATTTCGATTTACTTACACTTTATCAAAAGGGTCAAGTGTAAATTTATTTGATAGATCTATATGGCTTTATGTGACGCTGTTCGTAAAGGAGTGCAAAATTCTCTCTTCTAATTATTACCGAAACGTAAATTTCACCAATGTATTTTCCAAGTTTGAAAATCATCCCATTTTAATGATAAATCAAAGATCTTTGAAGCTAGTTAAAGGGTCTGCAGTCAAACTTTTCGTGCTTATAGTCGAATTCTGAGACATTTATCTTCTTGCTGACATTAATTTATCAGATTTTCATCCAGTGTTGACGTTTTTGATTGGAATTGTCCGCTATCAGTATCAATATTTGATATTATACCAGTTAGCCAAATCAATTTACTGACTTTTTGTTACTATTGCTATTTTTACATCCTCATTAATTCATCATTTGAGTATTTTTTTTATCTGCGGTCTAGAGCTTTGTAGAAATTGTTGAATGTTTTTGAGAACACAAATCCACCTAAGTTAGACAACCATTGGAACTAGAGACCACTGGACCTTTGTTTCGTTCTAACATGGAACTTCCGAAATTTAGTTGAGATCTCGTGATTAGTAATATTCATTTGCGTGGAGTGTGAGGCAGTTACCTATCGGAAATATTGTGAATCAATTAAAGTTAACCATTGGAATTTTTCACTAGTCGAAAGGTAAAACGTTCACAGCGAAACATGAAGGTCCTCGATTGGATCACCGAAGGAGTCTTGGATGCACGTTGCTGATGAGTCCCATGCTAAGATGAAACGGCTGTCCATTGCTTCTTGGTTTTCAATGGACGTCTAATTCAGGCTGGTTTTTAATCGCAATGTTTTTTTGTTTATTTCTTCGAATGTAAATTTTAATTACTCATCAGTACGTTAATTATCCGTTTACTTCTTTCCCCAACATTTTTAAAAGGAACAAAGTTTAATCGAGCTAATTAGTAATCCGTCAATTGGTACACCTGAAGATAAATTACGCTTGCTTATTATTGCTGCTTTAGCGGGTACCAGTAGAACTGGCACAAACACTAGTAATACATCAAGTAATATGATTGCCAGTGGATCTGGAAGTGCATTAAATAATTTCAATTCAAACACTAGTGGTATTGATTTTTGTTTATCCGATACAGAAGTTGATCGTTTGAAAACACTGTTACAAAACTCCTATCCTAATCTTGATATGAGTCCTGTGAATTATATTCAACACTTTAGGTAAGTTGTGTTTTTGTGGGACTATTTGTGTGCAATTTGTTACAATTCTGTTTTTTTTTATAAATTATATATGAAAATGATAATTCGTACAGAGGCCTATTAATTGGTTATATACATAATTCATTTTATCTTACACCATTCCCACTTTTGAAGACTGTCAAACTTACAATTAACCATACATATACCTAAATTAAAGTGGGTTCTAGGTTAACATACAATGTGATGTCACTTCCTGAAATCATAACTGGTTTATTTACAAACAAACTGGACCACATCATACTAAAAATGGGAAATAATAATTATACTAGATCAAGCCAAAAAGTGGCTGTGATTGTAAGACTGTTACTAATAAATTGCGAATAACTTAAGAATAATATATCGTATGATAGTAGCCAATAAGTCAAATAAAAGCTTATGATAAAGTAAATATAGATATATATAATCTAGTTATTTAGCAGTTATTCAATTAGAGTATATATAATAGCAGTCTATAAATAGTTATCAGAAGTTACCCATAATTTAATCTTCGTTAGAATATAACAAAAATAAACGGCTCATTAGTCTTTGAGTTAATTTCTCAAAGGTTTCCCACTTTTAATAAATTATTTATGTTTTAATAAACTGATCGTGATAAATAATAATTTAATTTGAAAATTGATTTAATCATAGACATAAGTACTAGTGTTATTCAAAGTACATTTTCCTGAGAAGATGGAACATATCAGCATACAAGTTTAAATCATTTGCTATTATTTGATTGAATAATCAGTATATAGTATTAAGTCAAAAGTTGCGCCTATCTTAGTATTTCGTCTTGATAACTGAATTCTCTCAAATAACATTTATTTTGAATCTTTTAAGCAAATTCTATTCTGTAATTAAATAGGAAAATTCCAAAAGCTGGTCAACTAACTGATAATATCATGGAGAATGTTAAAGGAGCTGGTAGTCGAAGTGTACTTAATAAAATTGTTTCACATGGTTCAGCTATATTGCTGACTGGGATGAGACATTTGATTGGTCAGAAATCTGTAAGTCGAATATCTGTAGTCTATGTTTACTATAGTTTTTGTTAATTTTCAATAGGTTACCGTCATAAGCTGACATCGACTAATTCGATTAGTGTCCACTTAACCTTGATAAAATACTTCTTTGTTTAAGTCTCTTTTTTATAAAGTTTTGTAGTTTGTTATGTTTATCCTTTGTTCCCTCCGCTCGGTTATTGTAATCAACTGTTAGAGATTTCGAGTGAAATGGCACAGTCATTCACAACGGCTCAGGTGTATTTACTCTTTGTCTTCCTTTATAACATGAGTGCTGAAATCTCTCGATACTCTCTTCTGTTTTTTTATACCTAATATTTCCTACGACTACTGATACTGTTACAACTTCTACTATTCTGAGATTTTTTTGTTAATTTTTTCTTGCTGTTCTGTTGTAGTGTGGCAACTTGAGTCGATCCATATATGTCGTTGCATATGACTGGCTAACTGACTATACTTTATTGATAGTTATAAATAATTTACTTCAAAGGTTCTACTCCTTTCAATAAAAAAAAATTTTCAGCCAAAGTTTCTTGTTGATCCTATCCACTTTATATTTCTGTGTTAGTGACGATAGCCTACTCTCACACTTTTAAACCAGGCTTACTATTTAAGAGTGCGCGAGTACCATCCAGTTAGTTATGTTAAAACTAGTGAAGCGTTGTTTATCCGTGTAACCCTAATAGTTGTAAGTTATGTACCTTGGTTTATACCCCATCCATGTTACATATTTCTGTAGAAAATTCCTCAAAATCGTGTTTATTATTAAGATCCGTTAAATTCTTTTATCCGCTACCTAGTCGTAAGTCAAAAACCACACCCAGTTTTTCTATTTTCTAGTATGGTTGACTTTTTAATTGTTTTAAATAATAATATCATATACCAATTATTTATACAACAATTTTGTTACAGTGATGTTTTTCAAGACAATATGTACTCTTGTAATGACCAGTCATCTCTATAACCGTGTAATGTCACATGTCAGTTAAAATACTGTTGATAGTGATTTTGTTCTCTTTGCAGTATATCTATCCATACTTTTTATTTCTCTCCATGCTTTTCTTCATGCCTATTGTAACAATATTAGACTGGAATTATTTATCTACATTTTGTTCTAATAAATTTAGTGACCATTACAATGTTCAGTTATTTTTATTACTCTGTTTTAACAGAATTACGTATGAGAATTGATTTATTTTCTGATTTCTGTGTACGGATGTTTATATGTATATTTGAGTAGTTATTTTTTTACTTATTTTCAGTACCTCCCGTTTACTCGCATCGTATCTCAGTTAATGGAAAATAAAGGTGGTTCTGAATTTGAAGACTATCGCTATTTTGATCCGAAACTGTACAGGCGTCAAGATTCGTAAGTTAATTCGATTTATGTTCATCAGTTTTTTTCGTCGCTTGAATTACCTAGTGTATGACCGAGTTTTTTTTACCTTGAAAGCTACACTTCTTTCAGTGGTCTGCTTAAAATCATGATTTCGTTTACTGTTCTTCACTTCTGATTGAAAAATTTGCTTTCTAATAATAATAACTTTTTAATCGATAGATGTTAATATAAACTGATGTCCTCTGTAGAGATTTAGCTTATTACTTAACAAAAATCATTGTCGAGACTATAATTTATGACAACTTTTGAGCGACGCTAAAGTGACCTTAAGAATGTCTACTTAATAACCAGGACCAAATGAGGCTTATAAATTAGTGTGAGGAGTTCGAATTATGATTTACAGTCGATGGTTAGTGTTAGGAATTAGATTTAGGGTTTTCATCACGAACTGACATTAGCTATAATACCAAAACTCTATCTAGCCAAATGAATGAGTGAATTTCGCTCGGTAATCCGAAACCTGTTATCTTATACCTGATTGATTCGTCCATAAATTATAGTCTCGCCAAATTATTTTCAGTTTACAACCTTACATGTGTTTATGTTACACATGTGACAGCAGAGTCGTAACGGAATTTTCTAGACATCTAATTATCACCCACTGGATCCCTATTTTAAATATAGACGGTTGATTAGTAACCGAATAATGTAACAGGAATTGCTTAATTACGTACTCGTGCTGCACTTCTAATTTATGTACGCATTCACAGTATATTTAAGTTTGATGAGTTTTGTACATGCTTTTAAAGTATATATATATATATATATATATATATATATATATATATATATATAATATAATTTGGACAATCGTCTGTTTTTGTTCAAAATCTTTCGTAATTACCGCTTTATTGGTACTTTCTATAATGAATAATTTGGCTACTTCTTTTCTGTCAAACAGACAATTGACAAAGTATCAATACGGTAAACTTGATTAGAATTTATGTATTATTATTTTGAAGATTTTTCTATGAATAAGTGAATAATTATTTGTTAAAACAGAAATGCTTAGCACGAGGAGAGCTCAAAAATAAACTGCATTATAAATCAGTTTTTGTCAGAGGTGACATACTGCATTGGCGACTAAACTAACTCAGATAGTTTCCTTACAGTGATACTTGCCAACTATTGATCTTCACTTCTAGTCCAGAAGGCATTAAAGTAACTTGGTTGCCGGTAATCTAAGTAATGTCATTTTTCATCTCGAAGTAATGGGCAACATTTGTTTGCACTTAAATTTTCTCAACTTCCGTAAATGAACCTTCCATTCTCAGTAAGTTTTAGCTCTAAAATTCCCTTTTTACCGAAAGACAATCAGTAAAATTTCCACGCCCCATAAATATACTGTTGTGTGAAAGTAGTTCTTGTCAAACATATAATTTCTGTCACCTTCGGCATTTGGAAATAATTTGCCACCTCCAAGCTCATATATAAGTGATCATTTGGAAAGCTAATGTTGTTTCCTGTTTTAGAAGCTATCACATTTTTATTTTATAAAATAATGGTTGACTTGTTTAAGTATCATTATGTAGACTGAAGTATAAAACACACTTAACTTACAAATCATCCTAGGGACCAATATCTTATATAAATATGGTTATACTAATAAGTTCAGTTAAAAATCAAATTACGGGTTCAACCTGGGTTTAATACATTATATTTCTCATCATTAGATAGTATAATAGCACTTTCTAATTAAGAATTCGCATTTCAAAAGGACAGAATGTAGTGTGGCTCGGCTTCGAGATAATTCCTTAGGCTTCGTTTATCAATCACCCTGATAACCATTATTAAATAAATCCCAACGGTGTATAAATTTGGCAGGTAGCACGAAGCACTAACTACTATTGGATTGCGCAGATAACAAAGTTACAAGCACGCCAAGCGAATTTGAGCACAAAGCTAATGCGCGCGAGCAAGCGAGTACAGAGGCATATTCTGAGTCGAACCTGATCGTATCAATTAATGTGATTCAAGTATGCATATATATATGGGAAAGCGAATGATTCATCGAGCGATATTTAAGCAACTAACATTTAAGTTAGAGAGAGATATGTACGTAGGCTTTCTCATGGGATCAATCATACACGTTTATACAGACATGATAGTGATCATAATAGTACAAAGAAATATACAAATGGTTACCGTTCGAACAACTGTGTCTGTTAAGTAAGTTAATAAAAGGGCTTGACACAATCAACCGTAAACAAACTTAATTGTAGGGGAGGTGCCATAACAGTAATCGCCTAAACCTAAAATCTCCGTATATAGTCTGTCTTTGAAAGGACAGTGAGGCATGTAACAGAGATAAAGCACTAAATGTTTAGAATTAAATTCTAAGACTTAATCTTACTAATTATTTTTTTAATGCAATATCTAAAAGTGTGAGCAATCACTGTTAGTCGTCCTCCTTTAGTTTGTGATTAGTCAGTCACTGATCTGAGTTGCATATTCCTAAATATTACTATGGTTAGATCAGTGTTTGCTAAAGAACGTGAGTAAATACACTTAGATCACTTCGTAAAGATTATTATTTTTTTTATTTGTCTTAGTAATATGCCTCGTGTCAAACAACCTTTCGATGAAGCTTTTGTCTTTGTCGTTGGTGGCGGAAGTTATGTTGAGTACCAAAATCTGTTAGATTGGGTCAAATCAACTTGTTCCACTACATCTGGCACATCTAGCACTTCGTCAACATTAACAAATTCTGTTAATGGGATAAACAGTCGCCCTGGCACAGGAGGTCATGACTCATCCAGCGCTCCTAATACTGGTACAGCTTATTCCAAACATATTACTTATGGCTGTAGTGATCTTGTTAGTCCGAGTGAATTTTTATTAGAAGTGAGTTCCTTTTGAGTGCAACTTTCGTAATCTTGTGAATTGTTCCTTGATTTTGGCTTAAGTCCGTTCAATCGATTAAAAAAAATTACTAATTACCTGCATCTATGGAGTTTTCTTACGTTGTTCAAAGGTCAACGAACATATAGTGGTTTCCTTGATATATTGATGAAGTTTACCCATATACAGTATGTAAGCAATATATATCTACCATAGTCTCGCAGTGGTTTACTTCATTAGTTTCAAAATTATTATGATTCTTTAAGAAATGCACTGTTTTAATTTTTGATTACACTGGTCCTTTCTTCTAGTTTCCGAAATAGCAGTGTTGAAAAACACCCCAAAATCTAACTAAATGATAATCACTTGATATTGTTTTACTTGAATCTTCCCATTGATGTTTTAGGACTGAAATTGATCAGTCTCTTTTTGGCATATGTGCATACTGTGCGTATGCCTCGATATTGCCTTAATTTACAAGCATTATAAGCAAAGATGGATAGTGGCTAGCAGTGGGATCCAGGACGTGCGTTTCATCCTGTTTGGGACTCGAACTCAGTACTGGTCAATTTCAGTCCTAAAACATCAATGGGAAGATTCAAGTAAAACAATATCAAGTGAATTAAACTTCACCCCATTGCACAAGCAAGTGGCTATCAGGACTCAGTAGCTAAGTCGACAACGCGATGGCGTTTGAAGCGAACGGTACTGAGTTCGAGTCCCAGAGTGAACATCAACTCTGAGATGCAGGTACATCCAGATGACGAGTCCCAAACAGGACGAAACGCGCGTCCTGGATTCCACTGCTAGCCACTATCCATCTTTGCTTATAAATGATAATCAGTTTATGTTACTTAATATTGTGTTGTAATCAGGAAACATTGTTTGCTAGATTCATCCTATTTATTTAGAAATCCTTTCAATAATTAAAGTTTAAGATTGTAATGCAAACGTATCAAAGTTTTATATTTATAATCTGTTCCTCTTTGAAATCACCTGAACCAAATATAAATTGCATTGTAGTGTATCCTGGTAAACAATTTGTTAGGTTGAATTTGTCAACTTGTGATGTGTTTTTGATGGAGTTTTGTTCTCTGAGCTGGATGGTTTGGTCGTGGAACTTTCACCATTCATCCAGCTCAGAGAACAACACCCTATCAAAATCACCCACCTGAGCTACAAATCTTCACCACTTGTGATGTGTCCTAACAAATAAACTACTTCTCGTCTTTATTTTGGTTTTTTAGTTGGGAAAACTTGGGAAGGAGTTGTAACTTTGGAGTTATCAATAATTCTGATCGTACAACTAAAAAAATTTCAGTTACCTCTTAGATACAGTGGTTGCTTTGAATTTTTTATGCTCTGTAAATTTCTTCTTCTGTGATGATATTTCTTCTAGTGTTTGGCCTGTCAGTTATCTTAAACGTTCATTTACACTAAATTTGATTTTTTTTTGGAATTATTGTACTTCTTGTTATATGTCTAAATCTCTTATTGAAATTTTTTCTGATATATCTATGTTGAAATTTTTCAAATGTATTCTAATTTGTATCCACATTTTAGATTATTCACTACGTAATTATATTGTTCATTGAAAATTGAAATGTTTGAAAATATAAATGTTCTGTGATTGAAAATAATTTTGACTACTGCTTCAACAATGTACTAATTTTTGTACGTATTGCCTTATGTATTGTAAGCCGTATATATACGGGTTACTGGGATTTCTGACTGCTCTGACTTTATTTTGTTATGTAAATGTTATCAGTCAGTCAGTCAGCTACAACATAGGACCAGGCACATATGTGCATCGGTCCAGGTTGCCATACCTCATTAGCACAACAAGATGAACACCGGATTCATAGCAGTGGTTAGGTCAAAGGTAGTAGTATATAGGAGAAAGATTGCATATAAGGATATAGTATATGAAGGAAGAATTAGTTAGTAGAAGGAAAGATATGAAGTGATTTTAATCTCTTAGTTTAAGGGAAGACAGGGAGTGTATACACCGACGTCACTGTGATCGATTCTGAGCCATGTCACCAAGAGTCTCCAGCCATTGGTTACGAAAGTCACGCGGACCCCAACCAAGTAGTCTGCATCTATCAACATGGCTCAGACTAGAAGTTAGTGACTTCAAGCACTGATGCCACGTTTTGGTTTGGCCGCCCCTAACTTTCTTCCAACCATCTCCAACACCGATTAGCATTGCACGACGTGGTAATCGGCGTTCAGGCATACGTAATACGTGGCCCAACCATCTCAGTCGATGAAGATTCACAACCTCATCAAATGATTTACCATCATTCCCTAATACCCTGCGTTTAACCTCACTATTACTTACCCGGTGATCCCAGCAGACGCCAGCAATATTTCTAAGACATCTGTGGTCAAATACTAGTAGCTTACGAGTACCTTTTACTCTTAAAGGCCATGTTTCACTGCCGTAAAGTAAAACGGAACGAACTGCCGCGCAGTATACCCGTCCCTTAATTGATAAACGGATATCTCGCCTTCGCCATAGGTGACGTAAGTTGGCAAAAGCCAAGCGAGCTATTCGAATCCGTGCTGAGATTTCGTCAGACACCAACCCATTAGGGCTGATCAGACTTCCAAGATAAGTGAAGTTGTCAACGTGTTCGACTACCTCACTCCACATCCTTAGTTCAGGTGTTAACGCAGGTCAGTCCTGAAGAAACAACTTGCATTTTGAGGGGGAGAAGTGCATTCCAAACATTCTGGCATTGTTCAGTGCTACCAAAATACTCTGCAGTTTACCAGCGTCTTCACCAAACAGGTCTATATCATCTGCGTATTCTAAGTCGATAAGTGAACCTCCTGGTAGGAGATCAATACCCGAGAATTCAGTCGACGAGAATGTTATTTCCATCAGTAGGTCTTTGATGAAGTTAAACAGAAATGGAGAAAGTGAACAGCCTTGACGGACACCACTTGAAGTTGCAAAAGTAGATGACAGTTCTCCATAAGCTCTGACTCGACTGATAGTGTTCGAGTAAAGAACCTTCACAAGGTTTATGTATTTCTGAGGTACGTCTTTCAATGACAGACATTGCCACGGAATCTCGCGGTCTACCGAGTCAAATGCTGCTTTTAAGTCAAGAAAGACCACCATTGTCGGATGCCGATAAGTATGCCTGTGTTCTAGAAACTGACGAATGGTAAATATGTGGTCGATTCAGCCTCGACCAGGTCTGAAGCCGGCTTGGTTCTCTCGTGTTTGCAGTTCACGAGTCTGATAATTATCGAGGCTAGTATTTTAGATATTATATTAGTTAAACTAATCCCTCTGTGGTTGTCACAGGATGATTTTGACCCTTTCTTATATATTGGGACGATAAGTGATTGTGGCCAGTTAGATGGAATAACGTCTAACTCCCAGATCTTAGCTAAAATATTAGTCAACCTAATCGCTAAAATTGGACCACCATCCTTAAAAACCTCTGGAGCCAATCCAGCTGCCCTTCCTCCTTTCAGATTAGCTATAGCCTTTTGAAATTCTGCCAGGGTTGAGGGACCTACTTCAATGTTCCATTCACACTGTCTGGGAATGGAGGGTAGTTGTAGATTAGCTGAAGGCCAGCTGAACTGTTCCCTAAAGTGTTCCGCCTATCGTTCTAAACGTCTGGACTGGGAGTAGATGAGAGTATCGTCTTTTTCCGAAATAATCCCACACTTGACTTAGTTCCAGTTTCTTCTTTTAGTCTATAAAGCTGTCTTGTGTTCCCTATAGTCACTGCCTTTTCCATCTCTTTCGCTTTCGTTGCCCACCACTGCTCACGGCCGTTTCTTAGACTTTTTCTTAGCCTAGATCTGATTTGTTGTCGCTCTTCATCGTGTTCAGAGCCTGATGGGACGAGTTTGCGAGAATCCATCAGTGTGATAGACTTTGAAGAAATCCACTGGTTCTTTGAAACTCTGTGGTTTAAGTCACTAATAGATGTCACTGCTGCTTCCACAGCTGCTTGTATTTCATTCCAAGCAACACCTGGGTCAGCCTCGTCTTCGGAACTACCTAATCGTGACCTCAGTTGTTCCTGGAACCTACTTTTGGTTTCCTCGCTACTCAGTTCGGTTCTAATGGGTCTTTTTACTGTGGCTTTTTTGCGTCCAGTGAGGCGCAAGCAGATGCGTGCCCGTATTAGGGCGTGGTCGGAGTCCAAGCAGGTACTCCAGAATGAGCGACAATCTTGTACCGACCCTCTCCAACGATGACTGATGGCAATATGGTCTATTTGAGTCCATCGTTGGTTTGGTGCAGGCGGTCGCCACGTTAGACGATGTCTCTCCTTATGCTTAAAATTTGTGTTTGCTAAAAATAAGCGATTGTCTGAGCACAGTTGCAGCAGACGATCACCATTATCTGTTCATTGTGTCGGTATACTAAAATACCCACCGAAATGCCTTTCTGTTTGGTTTAAATTACCTATCTGGGCATTAAAGTCACCCCCTACGAGTACTATGTCTGAGCGTTTAGCTTTCTGAAGAAGTTCGAACAGCTTTCTGTAAAATTCATCTTTCACATCATCTGAGCTGCAGTCAGTGGGAGCGTAGGCAGAAACGACAAAAAGGCAACGACGAGTGTCCCTATCCTTCCGAGTTCCTACGAAGCCGTTTAGCCGAACAGCACATAGACGACTGTTGACGGGGATCCACTCTAACAGTGCTTGTTCCGCCCTCATGCATAGTGCTATGCCTACACCTGCCAGTCCACGAGAACTGGCCATCGAGTCACCAGATACACGTAGGGTGTATCTCGTTGGCTCTCCGTTTTGCCGAGGTGAGGTCAAGTGAATGACCACACTGGAATCCTGTATGCGTGTTTCGGAGACACAGCATACATCAATCGTACGAGACTCTAGGGTTTTAGCCAAGGAAGCCTGCTGACTGATTTGACATAGGGTTCGTACGTTGAACGCTACAATGTGTAGTTTGGAGCGAGGTTTCAGTAGATCTGGGACTATGTTTTGAGCACTAAAATCGTTGGCTATGGTGACAATTGAGGAGGAAGCCGAAAGGGGAAATTTAGAGTTGACAGGCGATGTAGGAGGAGTAATAGGAATGGAAGAGGGAGGTTGATCATGAATACTGTGGTCTTGAGTGCTTTTAGAGGTATGAGGGCGGTTGTCACTTCTCGGTTGCCACACCGTGGAAGGGTTGTTCTGGAGGTACCTGAAAAGGAAATTGGATTAATAGTGGCCTTAGTGACCCGAGCGCGTGGCCGCTGTGCCCAATGGACAACTGCTTGAGGTCGGTCACACACGACTATTTTGTGGGTAATGTTTGTGTTAGCTCCGTACTTGTTGAGACCTTACCGCCTTAGAAGGACATCCATGGGATAAGGTGAGGTGTGCATTTTTAGGGTCGACCTTTTCTAACCCCACCCCTCCTTGAGGGAAGGCATCATCGCCTTCATGCTGGTTGTCTGAAGGAAACACCTTGCTGCTACCACACCTCTATACAGTCAGCAGTACGACTTCGCCTTCGGACCTTGGGTTTGTTGCTTTTAGTCTTACCGCTCTTCAACCGACCTGTCTGGCATGGTAGGACCTTGAGGAACGGTTGTTCCAGCCAGTATAGCTCGGTTGCTTCATCACGATAGGCAAGCCCGACCAGAACGTCAAGGTAGCAATAACGGTCGGGATGTTATCAGTCAATGAAGTTTGATGTCAAATCTCCTTTGCGAAACTTTTCACGTGAACGAATTCGCACTTTAACCCATATATTGCCTAAAGTGTGTAGGATCATAGTTTTTACAAGTGCGTAGGAAATAAACACGTCTATCATGCCACCATTTAATTTAATTTTTGAATAAAATTATTCTGTGGTATAAGTTTCATCTAGCAAACCATCGTTTTTGCTTTAGGTTAAGCCGCACTAGGTAATGATACCTGTTTTGAACGTGTGGAAACTAAAGGGATTAAAGTTGAAAGATACGTTAGTGACAATATCCAGGTGATCATTAATTTATTTTCCTCCATAATGGCAGCCACCACTCTTGAAGCGCTTCGTGTCAACAGACTCCATCTACCAACAGCAGTTCACGTACATCCGAACATGATACATGACAGGATTTAAGTATTAAAAATAACTGAAAGTGACAACTACACTTGGACCGTCAACGACAGGAGGAACACAAGAACGAAATAACTACCGAACGAGAGTTTACCTGTCCATTCACATAAGTCCAATTTAGACAAACAATGAAAGGGCGCTCACGCGTTTAAATTCGGAAAAATCAAATGTTATTCGAACACAGTAAGTTGCGTGGACTAATATATGTTGATATTTCACATCTAATGAGGACAACTGGGACTTGAGCGTTTTAAATCACGGACAGTAATCTAAAAATATCCGGCGTGTATTTCACAACAACGGAAAATTGGGATGAGCAGCGGGGCTCTGTTCTCCTGACTGGCAGCACGTGATATGAGCTTTCAAGAGTTTGCCGTTCTCGATTAATCTGTGCAGTGCACCATGAGGTCATCTCACACGCATAGCGAGTTTGCTGCAAAAGCGAGGTGCGACAGTCGTGTGCTGGGGGGTTTTACGCATTCTGTTCGTTTTGAATACATGTGAACTACAGTCATCAGTGGTCGCACTGTTCAATGTTAGGACCTAAATGGTGCTACTCTACAGAATATGGACGAATTAGTGGTCACAACATATATAGGTCGTTCCAATAATCAAGGGACCAATGCATAAGAGCGACAAGAGGGAAAAGGCAATGTTATCAGATCAACATAGTCGAGAAATCTGTCCCTTATCTGAAGATTATTCCGCCGTACAACCTGGAGTTTACCAGTTGATAGATCCAAACGGCCCGACGAACAATGATGACGACAGAGAACTTCTGAGGAGACAGTATTTTCAAAGATCTCACTTGATACTCAGCAACAGTCCCGCAAGTAAATCTAAGCGCTGGACCAGTGTATCAGGAACTTAAGCATTCAAAAAAGAATACTTCTTTTGGCCTGGTTATGGTGCAACCTGCTGTACTGAGAGGAGCTACTTCGATTATAGCAGCATCGCATATTTTAATGAACTCTCATTAGCTAGGTCAAGTCATTCATTATCCAAGACAATTTGAGTCTGGCGTATATGTGGTGCTTGTATTAATTAATAATTGTCCAGAAATGAGTGTTTGCTTGATTTTAAATTTTAAATACAAAATATTCATTTGTGCCCACTTAATCTCACTAGGTCTAAATTTCACTCCTTCGTGTAATAATTTAGATACTTTCGAATACTACAGTATACCTAGACATTTTTTAAAGGAGGACGATTTAGTGGAACTTCGTGCTATCAACTAGTAAGACTCTTAACAGCCTCAAAAATGATAGAGTGCAGCATATACGACAGTATACGTGACTACCTGTACAAATACCTCGTATTTTTCGCAGTTTATAGAGATGACATTCCTCAGCAAGTATCGTCCGGTTTATTACTTAACACACATAAGACTTAGGTTAATCCCTTTCGGAGATGTTTGGGGTTGGAAAAGGTCCAAGGGTATATTCTCTATTATCTTAAGTCTTACACTGACTGTGACAATGATGCTTTTTTGAGTAGATTTTGTATTGGTAACTTTAAAGCGCATTTTCGGCCAATCTGACAATAGAACTCTCCAATCATTCATCAACTGTTTTATAAGACCTCATTGATATTTTATAGATGTAGTATTTCCCTCCTCACTTCAAAAGAATATGAGTAAATTGGAACGCATCCTACGATGAGCCAAGAAATCAGTTCGTGGACATTAATTGAAACCTCACGAACAGTGCTTCAAACCACTGAATCGTTACTCATCAAAGCATAGGCACTTCAAAAGATGAACTTCAAATGAATTTATGAATCGCCTTAAACCCCTACCTAGGTTCAGTCCCAATATAAATCTTAGAGTGAACACCCAGATTTTAAATCGGCAACATAACAGAATAGCCGTCATGACATGTTTTACTGTATACGAGTAGTAAACGTTTGTAGTACGCTTTGACATGGTGTAGTTCAAGTGAATTACAGGTGTCCTTTAATGGGAAACGAGACGTATTCTTTAAGATTCAGGACAGTTTCTCACTACAGTTTACTAACATTCCTCTTTTTATCGTTAAATAAAGCTAGGTTCCTGCTTGAAGGCACTGATTATTTGTCATAAGTGCACACAGAAGTCTGTTAAGCGAGAGCTTCTACTCTTCCAATATCGACCATTTGAATCACATTGGAACCGTGAGTTGCGAACGGACGAGCCTAATCCAAACTTTTGGATGGCCTTGAAACCTTAGATGCTGTGGATGTATACACTGGTTACTTATAAGTGCTTCTCACGTTTGCTTCAAGGGTTAATGTTTTTGCACTGAGTTTCACACGATCTACATGAAAAAGGAAATAATTTTGTTTTAAATTACTTCTGCTTATTCATGTAATATCGATATCATATCACATCGAAAAGTAATAAGATCTTATTTCTTTTTTTAGCGATACTATAATCTGAATACAGGCTGATCATATTTAAGACAACCGGTTTGTGACTCAGGGGCTCAATTCATTTATTCATGTGCCTATTTTACGTTTATAATTGTGATTTATGAATACCTAATAAAATATAGCTTATATAGTTTCGTAATGTATCCCAATCTCCCTGTTTTGAGAGATTTCGGGGTTCTCCTCAAAGTCCAATCGTCTCTCTCTGGAAGTGGGGGAACATTTGGGGTTTTGTGTCATTTCCCCAAGATTTCCCAGAAATTTTCTACAGCGGCTTCTCCCAAATTGAGAGATTGGGATATCCGGCAAGACGACAATTTATGGACGAATCAATCAGGTATAAGATAACAGGTTTCGGATTACCGAGCGAAATTCACTCATTCATTTGGCTAGATAGAGTTTTGGTATTATAGCTAATGTCAGTTCGTGATGAAAACCCTAAATCTAATTCCTAACACTAACCATCGACTGTAAATCATAATTCGAACTCCTCACACAACTTTATAATCTTCATTTGATCCTGGTTATTAAGAGGTCAATTTAGCGTCGCTCAAAAGTTGTCATAAATTATAGTCTCACCGGATATCCCAGTCCTAGTTCCTAACTCTAACGTCCATCTGTAGATTCTTATCTTCGCTTCCAACAATAATTCCTAGCCATCAAATAACCCCTAGAAGGACTTAAACACTACCAAGGTCACTTAATCGCCGTACAGAGGTTGCCTATAAATTTTAGTCTCATCACTTCCCTTTAATGTCACTGATCAATGGTGTACGATTGTATGCCTCAATCCTTATGTGTATTTCGTATATCCATTTTTATTTAAAACTACTTTGGTATATTTTGTGTATATATTGAGCACTAAATTATTAGCTAGCATGTGTTAGTTAATGTCTCGCATCGTGAGGATTAATACGTGTCTCTCGTCCTTCATTCTTCTCACTGAAAACATGGTACCGGTTGATAGAAAATTATTAATTGTTTTAGGCAGTGTTTCCAATCTGGCTTTTGGGTTTTATGTTGGCAGACTATAATAACTCAACCATTTAATAGATAAGATATTGTTGCATTTTCTTACTTTTAATATACTTTTGGGTATAATGAACTCTTATTTCCATAGAATTTGTTCAGTGTTACGTAATATGTCTTCACATTGATGTCCTAAAATTCCCTTACCGACCAACTGCATAGCTTATTGTGCTCTAAATTTCATCCTTGATATTGTTATTTTCAAACTCCCACTCACTGTCTCTAATTGGTAACGTGAATTCTGTTAAAGAAGTGATTGTTTCGCAGCCAAAATCCGAGCAGACGAAACATTGAATTGAAAATTGTTAGTTCACAGTGACTCAGTTGCATTCAGGTTTTATTTTTCTTTAAATGGTAAATACTTTATTGTCCCGCCCGATTTCATTTCCCTTCTTTAACCCTAAGTCTTTCTCTCCTACCTGATTGATTTTATTTCTATCATTTTTCAGATTCACAATTTCCCCTGATTTTGATCCATTATCTTGACATAAATCATAAAAAGTCACCATTGCGTTAGATTTATCGGTATGTTGTTTTCTTCCTTCGTGTATTGTCCCGAATAATAAAAACTCAGGTCAGTAAGATATTGTGCTTGCGTTGTATATTGTCCCATACAAATATGTAGTAGTATTTGCATGTTTCGTCCGACAGTGATTCCAGAACAACGTTCTCCGATTATTTGTCTTAGAAATGGAACCCTTGTAATAACCAAACTGGACATAGAAGCAAATCTTTAATATTCCTACAGAATTCTTTTAAAAAAGTGGTCCATACCAAGTCTATTACTTGAGCTACTACAAATTTATCATTTATATTATAAGAAGTCTACACAATACTCACTTTGATTAAACATTATGAAGTCAAGTCTTAGTGATGGTGTTCATTGATGTGTTTTTTTCATTTTTTTTACTGGGTGTGCAAATATATTCTAACTATTTCTTCTTCCCTTAAATATTTATATGTATTTTATCGCTTTCAGTTATCATCGTCGCAGCCAGTTGTACAGTGATACTGAAGTTCGCACATAGAAATGGGTGTCCACTCATATTCATCTTTGTTTGAATATCTCAAAAATGTTGGTGTTCATATGCTTGACGAACTATACACTCATCCTCCAACATGTCTTGTCGTTTTTAGAGAATTACCTGAACTAGCGAAACATTTTGTCATGAGACTTTTATTTATTGAACAACCAATACCAAAATCCATTGTCTCTGGGTGGGTTGAAAAGGGTTCTAGTGCACTTCTAAATGACTCATGTAAAGCTTTGACTGATTTGAGAATATGGCATTCTACAGACAGTAATGTTTCTCGAGGCTCTTGGTCGTTAAATAAAAAGTATCAAGAGTCGATTCGGATATCACTGTTTGGAGGGTAGTCTTTGTTCATTTTCTAAATCTTTATGATTAAATTACAGTGGAAAACCCTTACTTGGAGATTTAGGCATAGTGACAAACGATAAGTACTCAAAAAGTGTTGACTTTTTAAAATCGTATGCAGCTGAACGTTGGGATGTGAGTTTACGTGTGAACTAATATCCTTTCTCGCAGGCTATACTTCACTTTATGGTAGGTTCTGAATCAGCGGAAGTTGGAAGTGTTGTGAAGGATGTCCTTTTATTGTCCAACTTAATGAAATGGTATGTTCAAATTTCTAACATTGGATATATGTTCGTATACACTAACTGTCAGTGAAGGTAATGATTGTCCAATCGGTATCACAAAGCATGGGTTCCATTTCTTGCTTATGAGTCGACAGTTTCAAGTGCTAGTTTTCATCCTGCACTACTTTGACTACTTAAAGGTAATTCAGCTACTAACTGTGCTCTATTATTTTTTATTTTAACAGGAAAATAGTAAAAATCTAGTTGGAGCCCTACAGTTTGTTTTCCAACTTAGTTTTTTGTGTCCGACAAAGGTGAGCTTAATTGCATTTGTTTTATAAGTTTAATATGCACTGGACCCAATAACTGTACACACTTTCCTGTCTTAGGTTGTAGGTCACACATATTTTGTTATGGGTAATTATTATATTCATGCACTAGGTTTATGTTCCACAACTCCAACTTCAACGCAGTGAATAAAACTACTACTATCCTCTTCTTACTTACCCTTCTAACTAAAGTAGGCCCATTTTTGTAATGGAAGCTTTGTTGGTGATGACCCACCCCCATTATAACTAAAATACATGTAAGTTAATCGGTTATATATAGATTACAATGATTATAGTTTACTAGCTGGGTAATTGTCACCAAAAATATATAGTGAAAATTCATTGAAAGTTCTTAAAGTAATGTAACGAAAATGTGCTGGAAGTTGGCCTTACATTCATTTTAAATCTATATTGACTTTCTTCCTTACAAGTTGTATTTGGGTATTCCAAAACCCCTAAGACTAAGTAAATTACATTTTATTTGGAATGGTTAACATTAAATCCCTATGTAACCTAAAGCAGGATAAGCGAACTTAAAATCCATAAATTACTGTTGAACCTTCACACCATAGGAATATTTGCTCCTCTGTTTAGCGTTCTTTCAGTAGGATTCTTTTCCACCGGATAAGGTTGGTAACCCCATGTCCAACCCTCTCCATTTATCTGGGCTTTGAACCAGAATCAAACGTTAGGTCTCGAGGCGGAGTCACCATCAAATCATAGTCTCAACATTTAACCGACTATAAATTTCAAGCAATTATAAGTGACAAATTATACATATTCTCCCTTAAGTTGAAATTTCTTCAGCAGTTCATCAGTTTCTTAACGAGAAACCAGTATATATCTTCTACGAAATATTTTCTCTCATTGACACTAATGTCATTAAGCAGACAATTGATAATAGTATACGCAGAGCAAAATAAATGCCGGGTTATTATATTGGTATCAATACTAATGTAAAAGTCGAGCTTTTGATGGGAATCATAAGGTATGAATCCAAACATAGAAGTCAAAAGTAAAGCCAAACGCCTATTCTAAACTTGCCTACAGTGAGAAGAAATTTTATTACGTGGCATAAATTTGAGCTGGTTGACCACTTAATTTATCGTAAAAGTCTCATTATCCATAAAAATTTGATGGCTAGTAAAATCTAGGCATGATTTTAGAAAGCTACTTTAGCCCCTACAAGCATATGCCTCTCACTCATTAGACGAGATATCCTTCTGCGCAGTTGTCCTTTCTGTATTACACTATGTAGCTAGCAGATAACCTATGAAACCAGATATTCACAGTCTGCAAGTATTGGGTCATCGATGTCTTAGAGCATTTCTTGCTGTATCGTTGGGTGACTTAATGAGAAATTTGGAGGTTAGGCGTATTTCTCTTTCCAGGATGTCCACCTAGAATAAGCAGACGACATAGTCCTGTTTGGTGAAGACACTGGTAAACTGCAGAGTATTTTGGTAGCACTGAGCAACAATGCCAGAATGTTTGGGATGCACTTCTCCCCCTCAAAATACAAATTGTTTCTTCAGGACTGACCTGAGTCAACACCTGAACTAAGGATGTGGAGTGAGGTAGTCGAACACGTTGACAACTTCACTTATCTTGGAAGTCTGATCAGCCCTAATGAGTTGGTGTCTGACGAAATCTCAGCACGGATTCGAAAAGATCGCTTGGCTTTTGCCAACTTACGTCACCTATGGCGAAGGCGAGATATCCGTCTATCAATTAAGGGACGAGTATACTGCGCGGCAGTTCGTTCTGTTTTACTTTACGGCTGCGAAACGTGGCCATTAGGAGTAGAAGGTACTCGTAAGCTACAAGTATTTGACCACAGATGCCTTAGAAATATTGCGCGCATCTACTGAGATCATCGGGTAAGTAATAGTGAGGTTAAACGCAGGGTATTAGGGAATGATGGTAAATCAGTTGATAAAGTTGTGGCCTCTTGTCAAGTATGCCTGAACACCGATTACCACGGAGCGCAATTCTGACTAGTGTTGGGAATGGTTGGCAGAAAGTTAGGGGCGGTCAAACCAAAACGTGACATTAGTGCTTGAAGTCACTAACTTCCAGCCATTACCATGTTGGTAGATTCAGACTACTTGGTTGGGGTCTGGGTGACTATGGTAACCAGTCGTTGGAGGCTCTTAGTGACTTGTTTCAGAATCGATCACAATGGCGTAGGTGTATGCACTCTTTGTCTTCCTTTAAACCATGAGACTAAAATTACTCTATGCCTTTCTTTCTATCAACTAATTCTTTCTTCCTGTATCATATCCTTTATTTTATGTATTACTACCATTGAAGTAACTGTTTTATGAATTTGATATTCATCTTGTTGTGCTAATCAGGTGTGTCAACTTGGAACGAGGCATATATTTGCCTGGTCCTACGTTGTAGCTGACTGATTGAAAGACCGCGAATCTCTTAATGAAACAATCTTTATTAAATGAAATTGCTCCAATACATGAAACATGTATCCGACCATTGTCTACCTCAGCATGTAATTTATTTCTGGTAGTCCAAAGAAGTAGAAGATTATCTTATTTATTTATTTAAACACATAAACATTGGTACAAAGAAGCACTAAAAAGATATTACTTACTTACTTACGCCTGTTACTCCTCGTGAAGGAGCATAGGCCGCTCACCAGCATTCTCCATCCAAATCTGTCCTGGGCAATCCTTTCTAGCTCCGTCCAGTTGTAATTCATCGTTTTCATATCTGCTTCTATTATCCGACGCAATGTGTTCTTTGGCCTTCCTCTTTTTCGCTTTCCTACAGGATTCCAAGTTAGGGCTTGCCTCGTGATGCAGTTTGACGATTTGCGTAATGTATGTCCTATCCATTTCCATCGTCTTTTCCTAATTTCTTCTTCAGCTGGAAGTTGGTTTGTTCTCTCCCACAGAAGGCTATTGCTGATGGTATCCGGCCAATGGATGTTGAGTATCTTGCGAAGACAGTTATTTATAAATACTTGTACTTTCTTGATTGTGGTTGTTGTAGTTCTCCAAGTTTCAGCTCCATACAGTAGAACTGCCTTGACGTTCGTATTGAAGATTCTCACTTTGATATTGGTTGAAAGTTGTTTTGAGTTCCATATGTTCTTCAATTGTAGGAAAGCGGCCCTTGCTTTGCCGATCCTCGCCTTTACGTCTGCATCGGATCCTCCTTGTTCATCGATGATGCTTCCCAGGTATGTGGAGGACTCTACATCTTCCAGAGTTTCGCCATCAAATGTGATTGGATTGCTGTTCTCCGCTTTGAATTTGAGGACCTTAGTTTTCCCTTTGTGTATGCTGAGGCCTACTGATGCAGAGACTGCTGCTACACTGGCTATCTTCATCTGCATCTGTTCGTGTGTACGTGATAGGAGGGCTAGGTCATCTGCGAAGTCCAAATCGTCTAATTGATTCTGAGCTGTCCATTGTATTCCGTGTTTTCCTTCAGATGTTGAGGTCTTCATAATCCAGTCGACCACCAGAAGAAAGAGGAAGGGAGAGAGTAAACAGCCTTGTCTGACTCCGGTCCTTACTTGGAATGCATCTGTCAGCTGTCCTCCATGCACTACTTTGCACTGTAGTCCGTCGTATGAGTTCCGGATAATATTGACAATCTTCTCAGGAACTCCGTAGTGTCGAAGAAGTTTCCATAATGTCTTCCTATCTACACTGTCGAATGCCTTTTCATAATCAATGAAGTTGATGTATAGTGGTGAGTTCCACTCAACTGATTGTTCGACGATGATCCGTAGTGTTGCAATTTGGTCTGTGCACGACCGATCCTTACGGAATCCAGCTTGTTGATCTCGAAGTTGGGCGTCTACTGCATCCTTCATCCGGTTCAGCAACACTCTGTTGAAGACTTTCCCTGGTATTGACAGTAGTGTTATGCCTCTGTAGTTTTCACATTTGCTCAGATCTCCTTTCTTTGGAATATTGACGAGGTGTCCTTCTTTCCAGTCCATCGGCACTTGTTCCTCCTCCCAAATCTTTTTGAATAGAAGATAAAGCATGCTTGTGGTTGCTTCGATGTCTGATTTCAGTGCTTCAGCTGGTATGTTGTCGGGTCCCGCTGCTTTCCCGGTCTTGATTTGTCTGACGGCCATTCTAATTTCTTCCGTAGTTGGTGGATTGACATCTATAGGAAGATCTATGTGTGCTGCTTCGATGTTCGGTGGATTCATTGGAGCCGGCCTATTCAGGAGTTCCTCGAAGTATTCTACCTATCTGTTACGCTGTTGTTGAATTTCGGTGATTGGCTTGCCTTCTTTGTCTTTGACCGGCCTCTCTGGTTTACTGTATTTCCCTGATAGTTTCTTCGTTGTATCGTAAAGCTGTTTCATATTTCCTTCTCTAGCAGCTTTTTCTGCCGTCGTTGCTAGTTCTTCCACGTATTTCTTCTTGTCGGCTCTAATGCTCCTCTTCACTTGTTTGTTTGCTTCTATGTATTCAGCTTGTGCTTGGACTTTCTCTGCTCGTGTTCGGCTGTTGTTTATTGCTGCCTTCTTGTTCTTCCTTTCTTTGATCTTGTCCAGTGTTTCTGTAGAGATCCATTCCTTATGATGGTAATTCTTTAGACCGAGAACCTCTTGACACGTTGAAGTTAATGCTTCCTTGATGCCTTTCCAGTTGTCCTCCATAGTAGTTTCTTCTTCTTCCAGTAGATCTTGTAAGGCTTGGAACCTGTTGTTGAGAGCTATCTTGAATTCATTGAGTTTGTCAGTATCTCGAAGGAAGGCTGTATTGAACCTTTGTATTGCTGTTTGTCCACTTGTCCAGTTCTTTTTTAGCTTCAGTTTTAAATTGGCCACAACTAGGTGGTGATATGAAGCTATGTCATCTCCTCTCCTGGTTCTCACATCTTCCATTGTCTTTCGGAATTTTTTATTGATGCAAATATGATCTATCTGGTTCTCTGTGGTGTGGTCCGGTAAGATCCATGTAGCCTTGTGTATACGCTTGTGTGGAAATATTGTGCCTCCTATGACCAATTTGTTGAATGCACACAGATTTGCAAATCTTTCTCCATTTTCGTTTCTTTCTCCCAGTCCATGTCGTCCCATAATATCTTCATATCCAGTGTTGTCTATTCCGACTTTGGCATTTAGATCTCCCATCAGAATAGTTAGGTCCTTTCTTGGGCATTTCTCAATGATTGACTGCAGCCGCTCGTAGAATTGATCTTTAATGTCGTCGTTGCTATCATTGGTGGGTGCATAACATTGGATAATATTCATTGTGATCCCCTCCTTCTTTGTTTTGAATGATGCTTTGATGATTCTGGATCCGTGAGATTCCCATCCTACAAGTGCATTTCGTGCTACTTTGGACAGCATAAGAGCGACTCCCTGAGTGTGTGGAGCATTGTCCTCTTCGTGACCGGAGTATAGCAGCATCTCTCCCGTAGCTAGCCTTTTCTGTCCAGTTTGGGTCCAGTGGGCTTCGCTGATTCCCAGTACTGCTAAGTTGTATCTCCTCATTTCCATTGATATTTGACTTGTCTTCCCAGTCTCCCACATTGTTCGAACGTTCCATGTACCTATAAAAATTTTTGCTCTGGTTGTTAGAAGGGGCATCGGCCTCGTGGCTTCCGAAGGAACTCGGCTTTCACCATGAAGCGTCATAATTCTTCTAAATGAAGACCTTCTAACTCCCAGGGCAGAGTTAAAATGGTTTGGATTATTTTTTCTGGTAAGCGTTTTTTTTAGCGAGTTAGTTTTCTACGGGATGGGGACGCTAACCCCATGCCCAACCCTCCTCCTTTACCCGGGCTTGGGACCGGCAGCAACCCTATAAGAGCTACAGGCGGAGTTACTAAAAAGATATGCGCCTTACAAATCAAATGAGATTTGTGTGAGGGCTGTGATAGTGCCCGGGTGCCCAAACCTAAGTAGTTGGTCTTCTTAGGGGTCACACATGGCCTTCGGCCTAAAAGTCTTATCCCCAAGGCAGTGGAGCAACATAAGGAGATACAGTCCTATGGTAGCAGGTGACCAATAATTGTTTCATACGCCATTTGTTCCTTCAGCATCCTGGAGCCCATTTGCACTAGTGGTTTGGAATCAGGATTTTCCAACTTCCCTAGATGGACTCTCGGTGTCCACCAACCCAGTTAAAGCACCGGACATTCGCTTTTCATGCTCTCAATTTCGTAAACAACACCATCATGAGAAGGCAGTGAGGAGGACTTACCTGGCAGTGGTTGTATGCACGTGGCCATGTGAGAGCATATCGAGAGGGAGAGCTGAGTCTCCCCACTCTCGTTCATACCAGGGCATTTGTGGGCAGTAGAAGGTTAACATAAACTTCCAGTCGGTATGAATTTTTCCAAGCCCAAACAAGTGTGTCTATGTAAGGTCGGTGATTGTTTACCTTACTTAGTCCAACATCTGTTTAGAGTGTGGTTCGCGGAAACCTGATGAGATTTCTGTTGTTGAGTCTGTCTCAAATAACTCTACAACCGCTAACTTATACGGAATGAATAATGGTTGTACTTTTTCATAGCTTCATCATTTTGTTCATCGCAATCTTGTTGACAAAGAATTCTTCCAGATATTCGTTCCACATTTTCCTGCTTTTGAAAATCACTTAACCTCACCTTTTAATTTCTGCTAGTTAGACGTTTATTTTAAAGTTTTTTGACATTGTGAAGCAACAATTACTTACAATGTGGTTGGATATTTTCAAAATCTCTATGTTGTTTTTGTACATATTTCGATATCATTTTCAGGGTACTCATAAGTAGTTTGCTTTTTACTGACATTTTGTGAGATGTTTCATAATTTGTAATTCACGCTGTTAAACTCATGAGTCGATTGCGAACCTGTATGTACTGGACAGCCGCTTCACCCTAGTATGGGACTCCTCCGCAGTGCTGATCCATGACCTTACCCGCGGGGTCCGAACCTCAGACCTTTGGTCCCGTGCGCAAACGCTTATCATCTAGACCATCGAGCCGGCGTCCAGCGGTCTTAATATCTAAATTCAGTCTATCCATAATCTTGCGCAACCCTTCATCCATTGTTTGAAGTAGATACCTATCTCTATCTAACACGGATCGGACTTCACTGATCAAAGCATCTCACTGGAACTCTAGAAGTTCCATCTTGAAGCTAATCACTAGTGATCACATGATTGTTATTAATATTGGGATTTGTGGAGATTGCATTATTTTCACAGTGCGGGATCGTGGATACGTTCTGTGGAGTAGTCCCATACTGAGGCGAAGCGGTCGTCTAGTACTTCCAGATTCTCAATGGTTGTCTAGCTTAGATCGACTCATGAGTTCAATAGTGAAAATGTTATAATCTCCGCAAATTGATTCTCTCTTCGCTAGTATTTGAGTTTTTATAATATTTAATAAATCTCATTTCTTGATTGTATTTATTTCTTCCTAATTATTTCTCTTATGTTTAGTCTTCTGCTAAAATCGATGCTACTTTTCCACTGAATAGTTTTTTTTATTTCTTATTTTTATGTTCTGATGTGGAGTATTTTACTTAGATCTATGAACATCTGTTCTATATCCTGTATTGTTCATGAGTAGCGATTAACTCGTATATTATCTAGTGTCAATCGTATTTAAGTAACTCGAAGGAGAATCCAGTGTCGATTTTTCCACAATTTACTATCGTTTATTTGTTTTATTCGTGGAGTAATTTTAATAAAAGATGTAGGAGAATTTGTCGCATTTATTCGGTGTCACTATTTGTTTCTCTCTAGTCATCCTGTTATTCTTTATCTATTTCTCATATTACTTAAATGGTACTGTGATACTACTTTATAATATGCCTCGCTCTGTATATACTTTGTTCCGGATTTAACCTCAAAGCAATATTTTCTTTTAGATAAATATACCCCTTAACAGTTGAGGACGTAGTTAGCAAAGTGAACGACTAGAAAGATTGTTACGTTCCTAATAAACAACTGTTAACTGTGTCATATATAGATTTTCTCTAATCTCCTCAAAAAACTTTAGTTTGTTCTGCATTTGTTTAGTTTCCTAATTTAAATAGTTTCGTGATAATATCCTAGAAAAATGGAACATTTTTTACATTATATCATTAACTTTCATCTAATGAATAACACAACCTTTAACTTTTTGAACGCGATCTATCTCTTAATCTCAATAATTAATAGTTGCCATAAAGTTCTTAGATTACTAGTTCCTGACATGCCTAATGTATTGTATAATTATTGTTTCGTATTTCAGAAGTATTTTCTATATTGGGTTTCTGTTTTCACTTTCACTGTAGAGCTATCCAGTAGAGGCACTGAGTACTGCCCAGCAGGAAGTATTACAACATATGCGCGAACTCGGCTTAGCTTATCAACGAAAGCGTACAGCGCCTCGTTTTTATGTAACTCCTCTTGCTTTGGATGTAGCTGGAGGTCATACTACTTTCTTGGAAAGTAAATCAGGTGGATGGGGTCCACAATTAGGAGTTATTCCTACTGGTGTCTCAAAAACAGATCCCACCGATAGCAACAAAATGTTTTCGCAAATTTCAGTATCGAATTCTTCCGATGTTGGTTATATTTTGCTAGAAACCAATTTCCGACTATACGCCTATACTGGTAAGCGAGCAATTTATGTTGTTCAACTGCTTAAAAAATATTATTGTGTTAAAAAAGATTGAATTGTACTGCAATTGTCCATCTGATTGGTGAATAGATGAGAACAATTGTGACAGGTAATTGAACGTCTTCCACCTGATCAGTATTCGTTGTAATCAATTTTCATTAATTATCCAAACATTCTACGGACATTACATTTGCCTCTCTGATTCTCATCAAACAATTATATGGATATATAACTGTTGTTTAATTGTCAGTAAGATTCTCAGTCCCATGCTATAGTTTGTAGTTGATTTATACATTTTTCAGGTTAATCATCTTCATATACGAAATATTTACATCTCCACTCTTTATGACTATTATTATTATTATTGTTAATAAAATTGTATGTTAATTGCGTTTTACTATGTTTTCATATTTATGTCAGAATTTATTTCTCTTTCGTAGATTCACCGCTTCGTACCGCTCTTCTTAGTTTATTTAGCAAAATACGTGCACGTTTTCCTAATCTTGTTGTTGCTGATATAACTCGTGACTCAGTTCGTGAAGCATTAATTCGTGGAATAACTGCAAATCAGGTAAGTTTTAATAATATTCCCATTTTAATCTTAACCAACTTAATTTTATAGATTCTATCTTTCTTAACAACCAATGCACATCCAGATATGTTATTACAGGTAAATTTTGTTTGTTGTATTTCCTTACTGTAAGTTATTTTCTATGTTGTATCGAAATCTCAAAATAGATAGTTAACCATGTGTAAATTGTCAAGCGTAAGATTTAGTAATTTTAACGGCATTCTTACATTCTCTAAGGTTTTGTGCATATGTTTCAGTATGTTAGTTTTGAATATTTATGAAAGAAATATGTAAATGGTCTGTATAATAGTTGGTTTTTAAAATAAAGCGTTTGATTTATAGAGATCAATGATTTCTATGTTAGGTGTTTAGAGACAGTCGGTAAAGAGCCCTGAACTAGTTTATATTTATCACCGAGGCTTATCTGTACTCTTAAGTGAATCGTTTTTCTCCGTAGAATTCAAACTCCTATCAGCCAGTATCATATAGACGTTATCAGTGATTAGTTTAGGCGTTGTTTTCGGTTATTTCTGTCACGGAATTTCTGGTTTTTGACTCAAGCTGAAACTTATTTAATGAATACCTAAGATAACCACACAGATCGACAGCTTCGTGACAACCATGATCGTGTGTGATGGGAAACATCAACTCCGTCTACTTTTTATATTGAATATCTCATAAATAGATTTCTGTCTCGCTAAATTTTAGTCAGATGTAACATATGGAGCCCTACCATTCCAAATAAACGTTGACGATCAACTGAAGCATCTTGAATAACACCAACCAGATGGGGTTGCGTCCGTCTCCAACACCGTAGCTAACGTCTTAAGAAACTTAACTGCCAAAAGTGACCCACCATACTTCAAGAGTTTTCTAAAGCAACTTATCAGACTTTTCCCCTTCAATTTAGGTACGTTTTTAACCTTACAAAAATTTACGAGACTTGTTTTACTTTCCACTCCAGTTTATATATGAGTAGAAGTTAACTGTTCCGCCCGCCGTTCTAATGTCCTAGAAGGGATGGATCACCGCATTGTCTTTTCCTAAAATAATCTGACAACTGACTTCTTTTCTTCACTGTTCATCGTAGTCTGAGGCTGTTTGAATGACTTTACGAGCGTCCATTACTTGAAAACTAAGCTTATATTCGTTTTCAAATTAGAGATAACTTATAAAATGTACACTAACTCCATTTACTGTTTTTTAATTGTACTACAGAATCCTATATTACCGCCTACTTTAACCGATCAAATACGACTATGGGAATTAGAACGAGATAGATTTTTATTTCAAGAAGGCTGTTTGTATGAACAATTCTCTCGGAATACAGATTTTGAAATGGTTCGGGATTATGCTAAAGTAAATTTGTGATTATTTTTTTTTGTTAATGGAGGCTTTTTCTTTATCTTTAGAGCATTGGTGTTTTACTCTGGGAAAATCCTGAACGAAGACTTATGGTTGTGTCTAAAGCAGGTCATGAAGATGTACGGAAATTTTGGAAACATAAACGTCCATCCTAAAACTTTGTCACTGTTCAATTTTCTTTTTCTACTCCAGATTATATGTACATATATAATTAGACATTTTCATTTTTATTCTAACAGTATTTGTTGAAGAGTGATTTTTCAGCAAAACTCCATGATTTGTTATTTTTAAACTTAAAATGCAATATTATATCAAAATTCAAAAGTAATTCTAACGTACTCAAGTTTAAAAACTCTACAGAAATTTAGGAAAAATAGTCCATTGTCTGCTCCGAAAAATCGAAGGTGAAAGTCAAGAAACTCGGAAGTATATAACGAAAAAGAATATGCATGTTAAAATAAACTATCATTTCACTGTATGAAATCCTCACTAGCTAGAGATCTATTGAGAAGTTTAGCTATACAGTAGTTTAAGTAAGCTGATTTGTTCTAAAACAATAGTTCCCACTAAGTAAATATCGGTAATCGAAATACAATTATCCTACATTCCCATACAAAATTCATAATCACTTTATTGACTGCAGAGATTCAACTTTTAGTTTTATGTTGAGTAATCTTATCAACTGACTTCTGTGTAGGCGAGGAGAATGAGTAGTTATTTGCTTAGTCTGGAAAATTGGTGTAAGGGAGAAAATCAAGCGCTACTTCAGTGGCAATGGTGGTTAAAATGGACATAGGCTTAAATTTTCAGTTAAAGTGGATTTTATATCAACAAAATCGATCATCTGACATCATTATTGAAACAGCGAAATGTCGGTCAAGAATTTGTCGGTATCTTCGAAAACTCATGACTTCAGATACTATCGCAAATTCACTCAGTGCGTTTATATTTGACTCAGAAAGTGGAATTACTTTTTAAGCGTGGTTTAAGCGCCATGAGGATCTGTTTATTAATGATTGTAAAGAGTGAGACAAAAGCCCAAAACAGACTATTGTTACGAAAACTCGGAATTCCTGAACATGAAAAGTTTGTAATTTTATTCTCCCAAATAAATCAGCCAATCTAACCTTCTGAGAAACGTATAGTTGGTGAACGATTACGAAAATTTCACACTAGATACCAGGGTCTTCAGCTTGTAAAAGGTCTACGGTACTATTACGTGGTGTATGCAAGTATCGTGGATCGGGAATGTGAGCAGTTCCATCTACAGAAATTGTCTTCAGACCAATTTGAATGTTTTATCTTTGTGTGTAGATTACGATATTCGTCTAAGGCAAATTAGTGTTTTATTGGTGTAGACGGAGAAACGGAACAAAATAACATTAACATACGATTTCCACGCATCAAATGGATGATATGATATCGGAGTTTATAAATATATTACTTTTACTACCCTTAGATCTTCTATTTCTTTTAATAAATGTTCCTTATCAAACAGAAACACACCAAATACTCCTGGTTGAAGTGAATTTATTTCATTTCATATTTCTCAAATCTTCCACATATAAATAAAAAATAATTGTAAAAAATATACATCAGAATACGTCAGTTAACTGGTTCAAGTAATCGTAAATACTTTCTACATTCATAAAAGTTCAAATTATATATGAACAGGATTAAGTAGACAGTTCATACAATTAATCAACAAGAAATATATGCGAATTGTTACTTATAAACAATAAAAATTGGTAGTAATTTCAAAATAATAATAACGATGATAATAAAACAATAGTACAGACAAAACAAGTTTGATTTATCGTGAAAATTAAACTACATACGTATTAATGTACGTAGGCTACTTAAATCATTCATAACACATGTCTAACAATAGTTTTCGATTGTACCATATTCGCGTAATCCATGCTATAAAAATATTAGAAATAATACTAAAAGATTTATATTCCGTGACAATAATCTCTATAATGTTACCAGGTCTTTGTCTTACTAATATCTGAGGTTCTTTCACAAATATTCGATTTCCACACTTGAAATCTCGAGTTGATTAAATCTAGACCACCATTGAAAACCTGGAAGCGCATGAAGGCCGTTTCGTCCCAATATGCGACTCTTCAGTAGTGGGAAGATCGTATTCTACACACAAAGATAGAACATTCAAATTGGTCTGAAGACAATTTCTGTAGATGGAACTGCTCACATTCCCGATCCACGATACTGGCATACACCACGTAATAGTACCGTAGACCTTTTACAAGCTGAAGACCCTGGTATTTAGTGTGACATTTTCGTGATCGTTCACCAACTATACGTTTCTCGGAAGGTTAGATTGGCTGATTTATTTGGGAGAATAAAATTACAAACTTTTCATGTTCAGGAATTCCGAGTTTTCGTAACAATAGTCTGTTTTGGGCTTTTGTCTCACTCTTTACAATCATTATAAACAGATCCTCATGGCGCTTAAACCACGCTTAAAAAGTAATTCCACTTTCTGAGTCAAATATAAACGCACTGAGTGAATTTGCGATAGTATCTGAAGTCATGGGTGTTTTCTAAATCAAATTATTGTAAGTCATGTGTGTCCAGTGCTAATATCTGTGATCTAATTATGACAACAAATAGATCATTGAACTAATATAATACTTTTTTTTCTTAAAATATTCGAAATATTTAGTAGTTCTAAGTAGTTGTTTAAACAAATATTTTATAAATATATAATTGAAGAAAATAGATTAAATAGAATAGTTCGTCAAACAAATTAATAATCGTACCTTTTTTCTAAAAAAACTCTCCCGGTCTCCCACATTGTACGAGCATTCCTGTACCTAAATTCATGTTTGCTCTGGTTTTCAGAAGAGGCCTCATGACTTCCGAAGTAATTCGGCTTTCATCGTGAGGCGTCATAACTCTTCTGAATGATTACCTAACTCCCAGGGCAGATTTTAAGTGGTTTGAATAATCTTTTCTGGTTAGCGTTGTTTGGCGAGTTAGTTTCCTACGGGGTTGGATCGCTAACACGATGCTCAACCCTCCTCTTTTATCCGGGCTTGAGACCGGTAGTAACCCAGAAGGTGCTCCAGGTGGATACCTAACTGTTTTTAACTACTTTGTAGTTTCACTGGTTGAAATCATGAGTCAATCGAAGCTAGACCACCATGGAAAACCTGAAAGCACTGGATGGCCGTTTCGTCCTAGTATGGGACTCCTCAGCAGTGCGCATCCACGATCCCGCCCCCGCGAGATTTGAACTCAGGACATATCAGTCTCGCTCCAGGCGCTTAACCAACTAGTCCACTGAGCCAGCATCCAACAGTGTAAATGTCTAACTTCAACCAATTCACGAAGTTGTGCCACCGTACACCATTGTTTTCAGCGAGTTTATATCTCACAACAGACCTGGTTGAACTCCACTGGTAACGGCTTCTCACTAGAACTCCAAGAGTATCTCTTGAAGTCAGTCACTAGTGAGTAGATGTGAATATTTTAAAACAATCAATTTATCTTCCAGTTATATTTAGATACAAAATAAATTAACTACCAAAAAATTAAACAATCATTGTATTATTATTATTAGCTTTATTCAATATTATATTTCTGGTACAATATTGAATTCTCAGCGCAAAGTATCTCAACAAATTTCCGTTTTCGTTTTTATTGATCGATCCTGACGACAAATATTGAGTGATCGCCAATTATATGTTAGCAGTTCAGGAATCAACATCTGAATAATATACTTTCTTTTCGATGTATGTTGCCAGCAACCACATTATCTCTGATTGTGCTCTTTCCTAACTTATACAGAGAAAGGTAGTGAACTTTTCACAAACGCACCTGAATAGATTGTGCAGTTAATTGATATAATGATCTGTTGAAACAAGCAAAAGACAGATAACTTGTTGAAGTATCCAGATGGCAGGAATAGGTAGCCCAGATATTCAAACAGGCCGCCTATGATGGCTCAGTTGGTCAGTTCATACACACTAATCAAACGGTGGTCATCGTGCATTTTAGTATATTCGTGAATAATACTGGAATGCGGAAATGCAGTTAACTAAATTCATCAAGTCTATGTTGATGTTCTTCCTTGTTGTTTTGCTTTTTGCAAGAACTAAAGCAATTACATTGTAAAACATGTTGAATATAATGCTCGATACGTATAATGAGTTCTGACCGGTGAAGAAAAAACTCAGAAACAATCTTTGACTTTGTATTCATCCTATATTGAAATTTATCAAAAATAGCTTATGATAGACACTAGCTTGAATCTAATTCAGAGAAAAGTTTTAAATCAATTCAAACGACAGAATTATGAATATCATTTATTTAGGAGAATCAAAAACTATTATAAACCGATTAATGATAGCCATCATTTTTAACCATGTGTATCGTTAATCGTTAAGGTGAAAGATATTCATAGCCATGAAATGGGAAGCCTTCTAAAAATTTCATCCCACTCTTGCTGTCTATCATCAATTAGCGTAACTTCACCCTAGAGAAAGCTCTTATTATATAGAAAATTCACGTATGTGTTAATTAACACCATAATCACATAGATTATCGTCACGTATCTCAGGCAACAACAACACTCTTTAAAAGTATGTAAGATGATAATCGAATATTATCAGTTGTTGTTAATCTGAGCAAACATTTTTCGCTCCTTTTAATTAGGCAGAACTTTTTGTTAATCGCCTGTAGTAGACTTATAAACGACGAAACATTTCTTCATTTTTGCATGAATACTGCTTATTTCTTATAATTTTATAGAAAGAAACAGATCGACTTTTCAGTCAATGTTGGTTTGTATTGGAAAAATCTCGGAGAAATCGGACATCATCCCTAAAAACGTATCTACATAAATTGGTTGAATTTCTGAACAGCGTACGGTTTTAAAACGTTAGTTTAAAGGGAATTTACATATGTTTATCAATAATAAAGGCTGAGAATTATATTGACCGACAAAATAATGGAAAGTAGAACTATTTACATTAGATATGACAACTTTCAATCATTTATAGTTATACATATATGTTTCTTTGATAAAAATTTTTAATCGATACCTGTTATGGAACAACAAAAAATAGGGTCAGTTTATAATTAATGTTACATGAAAAAGTTGACGTATGGTTTGAATTAAATAGAATTAATAGTGATTATCAGGTTGGTCTTCTGTTAGTGTGTATTATACAATACGTTTTTAGGTCATCACTTATATGCAAGGTTTACATATATAAATATTTATAAGACAAATGTACTCACTCAGTAGTTAGGGCATTTAATTATAAATGAATATTAAAATATGATATTAAA